GGCCGCTTGTATCCGCGATCTCGTTCTTTCGGTCATGACCCATCCTTCATGACCATAGGTGAGGGTAGGAACGAAAATGGCCCGGTAGACAGAGAGCTTTGCCTTCTGGCTCAGCTCCCTTTTCGTCACAACGGTGCGGTAAAGCGACTGCAGTACCGCTCCCGCTGCTCCGACTCTCCGGCCCATCTCACGCTCCATTGTTCCCTCACTCGAGAACAAGACCCCGAGATACTTGAACTCCTTCACTTGAGGTTACCTATGATTGTTAAATAAAGTGGTCAAAGTACAATCATTTCCTCTAAATTGTAGTAGATTAGAAGCATTAAGTATAGCATGGAAATACTCAAGTAGCCTACTCAAGAACTAAAGTTCAAATATTTAAAAATAATACTTGAGTAAACGTTATTTCCACCAATGCAATTGAACACATTTCATTGTATTAAGTAGGATTTAAAAGTTTTAGAGAGACAGAAAAAGTGTTCTTGATTGCTCCACAAATCCTAATTAATCCACCAATAATTAACTGACGAAAAGTGAAGCAAAGAATATTTGTTCTGCAATTAATAACACTTAAGTAAGTGCAGGAAAATGAGAAGCACACCATTTTTTTTCAAAGTTTCCCCCAGGGGTGACTTTGCTTTAATAACCAAGTAATCTCTTATAATTTAAATTATTTATGAATCGCTATTTCAGCAGTCGTGGAAGAATAGATTAGCTTTAAAAGAGAGGATATTTCAGATGTGTTTTTGTTAAAGCTCACATGGTGCAGGCTCGTCTGTGAACGACACCGCTGACAGTTAATTATCTGCGTAACATCGGCGGCGTAACTTCAGATTTCACCTCTTGAACGCTCTGGTTTGATATGTGGTCTTTCCTAAATGAGATAATCAAAGCCTTTTGTTTTACACTTCATGAATCTTCCAGCAGATTCTCGTTTGTGTTTGTGTTGTAAGATCAAAACGCTTCAACCTCTGTCAATGACGAAGCCATGAATCAAACGGCAGGCTTTGAAATTGATTTTTAATTACTGACTTCATATGAACCCTTTTCCACTGAGATTAGTTCTGGTTTAGACCTCTACAAATGTGTATTTTTGTTCAGTTCTAACTAACGTAATAAAGGATTATATATTTTAAAGTTTCTCTTGTATTAAATGGATTATTGTAGCCTATGCACCAAAGCCTGTCAGACTTAATTACAAAACTCAGAGAAAAAATAAATAAAAGGTAAATGTCATATTTGATGACATTTAGTTCAGTCTCATTTAGCTTTTGTTAGTAAACTGCAGTTTTTGTTTACACATATACAAGCTATACAAACATGCACCAGTGGGGTAATTAGTGACGTATTTATGTCGTAGAACAAAACATGAAAATCTCCTCAGCTTGTTTCAGGCATCTAACGAAACATACATTCCAAAAAACGCTGACTTTGAGGCGAGGGAACCAGAAATTGTATAATACTGACTCATTCCTGCACCACTCAATGGGGTATTTCTGCTGTTGTGTAACGAAACCATTAAAGCTCCCCAATTATACTGTTTTTCATCAATATATTACAGGTCTCAGATATATACAGAAAATAAGGAGCCGCTCCCCACGCCCCTCTGATGCCCCTTTCACACCAGCGCTTTTACAGCTCCGGCTCGGAGCTGGAGCCTGAAAAGTGCCGGTTTTTCCTGTTCACACCGCAGTGGCGCCGGCTCTTAGCTCCGGAATCCGGTTCACTTCCAGCTCCAAAAAATTGTCGGTCTAGAGGCAAGAGCTTCGGAGCTAAGAGGTAGCGTCGCTTACGTCTCTCTTACGTCGAGGCGTGCAGGAAACTAAACCCTCCTCCCCTGAACATGGGTCGACTGTCATGCCTGCCTACAAGCAGTAGTGCTTATAAACACACGTTATAAAGTCAGGCAACACTAACCAGGCTTCGTGTGATTCTGTTTATTTGTACCTTACTTTGACCATCCGTTCAGTCATTGATCATTGTGGAGAGGGGCAGACGTGTTGTTTTGTATTATAGCAGCTATCGGATGGAATCAATACATGGGCTGCACAGGTTGTCGTGTCCGACTATCACAAGTAGAATCATAATAAAAATACGCTGGTAAAATGTGCCTGTAGAAAACGGTTTATGCCACAATAGGATAGCAATAGCAAGTAGTCCCTTTAGCTTCGGTTGCTATGCTAACATCACCCATTTTATACCAGAGAAACTTTCATAACAGCGTTGTGATGCCAAACAGCGTCAATTCAGACTGACACACATTCAGGGGAACTGGGGATATGTATCAGCTGCTTGTGTGAGTCAGACAGTGAATACTTTAGAGCGGCCGCAGCAGTGTGAGCTAATCGAGCTAATCGGGAGCTAACGGGAGAATAAACTCCCGTGGAAGAGCAGCCAACACTGCAGCGGTCGGTAAATTCTGCAGAAACACATTAATAAACAATGAACCACGGCACTCTGGAGAAAAGCATAAGGTTGGAGAAGTCGTTATTTAATTTAATCTGGCTTCGTGTGATTAAAAGCAACACGATCATCGACCCGACGCAGTTGTTGTTGTTGTGAGCGCCGTAACGCCGTTGGGGAGCAAATCAGCCACGTAAACGGTGACGTCATGACGCAGCAGCGGCAGCACCAGTCGGGTGCTGGGCGGTGTGAACAGAGCGGGAGCAGAAAAGGGAAACCGGAGCTGAACCAGAAAAGCTCCCGCTCGGAGCTAGAAAGGGAAAAGCGCTGGTGTGAAAGCCGCATGAGAGAGATTTGGTTACAAAGAACTCAATGGTGCTCTAGGAGGAGATTCAGGTGATAAGGGGGGGGGGTTACCTTGGTTGCTGATTGGCTAATGGTTACACAAGACAAAACATCGTTATGACATAATACTGTGGCCAAAATCTGATCAGCTCATTTTCAGACAGGTTTTTATAGAAATGGATCAAAAAGAGAGAGAATCTTTGTTCCTGAAACTTTCAGAGTCTCTTTCCACAGAGGGGACACATGTTGATGTAGAAGAGACATGAAGAAGAGGGGACACATGTTGATGTAGAAGAGACATGAAGAAGAGGGGACACATGTTGATGAAGAAGAGACATGAAGAAGAGGGGACACATGTTGATGTAGAAGAGACATGAAGAAGAGGGGACACATGTTGATGTAGAAGAGACATGGAGAAGAGGGGACACATGTTGATGTAGAAGAGACATGAAGAAGAGGGGACACATGTTGATGTAGAAGAGACATGGAGAAGAGGGGACACATGTTGATGTAGAAGAGACATGAAGAAGAGGGGACACATGTTGATGTAGAAGAGACATGAAGAAGAGGGGACACATGTTGATGTAGAAGAGACATGGAGAAGAGGGGACACATGTTGATGTAGAAGAGACATGAAGAAGAGGGGACACATGTTGATGTAGAAGAGACATGAAGAAGAGGGGACACATGCTGATGTAGAAGAGACATGAAGAAGAGGGGACACATGTTGATGTAGAAGAGACATGGAGAAGAGGGGACACATGTTGATGTAGAAGAGACATGGAGAAGAGGGGACCAGTGTTGTGCTAGTTACTGAAAACCAGTAACTAGTTACCATTACTAGTTACTTCATGTCAAAAGTAACTCAGTTACTTTACTAGTTACTTACACCCAAAAGTAATGTGAAAAGTAACGTTTTCGTTACTTGAAAAAGGGTCTCCCATTAATGCCCTTATAGCCTTCATTTCAGTACTGTTATTGCATTGGAGAATAATACAATCTGTTAATCAACTTGACATGCATTATATGCAATCTGGATTGCATCGATATTAGCTGGCTTTCCATTTTTGTATATTCTTTCTCCAGGTAGTTGGAAAAAGTTTTCCGTCCCATATGCCGTGTCCCTGAAAGCGGGTGACTCCACTGTAGCAATAGCCTGCATGTGTTCTACAACATACCGTGCAATGGCTTTATCGACTTTTCCCTGGCTAGCAGTCCCTTGGTTAAAATCCAGCCGCTGTTGCTTATGTGGAGGTGGAGTGGCGTCGGCTGAGTCTCTGTGGTCTTAGCTACTAGCTTCGTCCCAGCATGTTGTTTTTGCAGATGTTTCAAGATATTTGAATTACTGGTTTGGGCAGTAGATAGGATCTTTGTCCCGCCAAGACACAACTTACATTTAACAGAAACGTTATTTTCTTTGTGCTCGACAAAAGTGAAATAGTGAGAATATCTCCAGGTGGAGAAACTAGACTTGAGCTCCGCCGCCGCCGCCATGATAGTCTTGTTAGTAAACAACACAAACACGCCCACAGCGCGTCTCCGCATGTGACACAGGAAGTATCAAAGTACATTTACTCAAGTACTGTACTTAAGTACAGTTCTCATCTCTGTTCGCCTGGCTGTTGACTATATAAAAAAACTAACGCAGTAACGCACCATGTAGTAACGGTAACTGAGTTACTGAATTTAAAAAGTAATGCGTTAGAGTACTAGTTACTGCCAAAAATAACGGCGTTACAGTAACGCGTTACTTGTAACGCGTTAGTCCCAACACTGGAGGGGACACATGTTGATGTAGAAGAGACATGAAGAAGAGGGGACACATGTTGATGTAGAAGAGACATGAAGAAGAGGGGACACATGTTGATGTAGAAGAGACATGAAGAAGAGGGGACACATGTTGATGTAGAAGAGACATGAAGAAGAGGGGACACATGTTGATGTAGAAGAGACATGGAGAAGAGGGGACACATGTTGATGTAGAAGAGACATGAAGAAGAGGGGACACATGTTGATGTAGAAGAGACATGAAGAAGAGGGGACACATGTTGATGTAGAAGAGACATGGAGAAGAGGGGACACATGTTGATGTAGAAGAGACATGAAGAAGAGGGGACACATGTTGATGTAGAAGAGACATGAAGAAGAGGGGACACATGTTGATGTAGAAGAGACATAGAGAAGTGGATTTTCGCATAATAGGCGACCTTTAACGTCTATCTGTCTATGTGCTTTTGTTTCCCTCTCCGCAGGGTGAGTGCTCCCAGAGGTGCTACAACATCTTCGTTCTGGAGACGGTGTGCGTCGCCTGGTTTTCCCTGGAGTTCCTACTGCGTTTCATCCAGACTCAGAGCAAGTGGACGTTTCTTCGTACGCCTCTGAACCTCATCGACGTGTTGGCCATCCTCCCGTACTACATCACTCTCATCGTGGACTCTTTTTCTGTCGGCGGGAAACAAACAGGCTCCGGGAACAACTACCTGGAGAAAGTGGGGTTAGTTCTCCGAGTCCTGAGAGCTCTACGGATCTTTTACGTGATGCGTTTGGCTCGACACTCTTTAGGCCTGCAGACACTCGGGTTAACAGTGAGAAGATGCACGCGAGAGTTCGGACTTTTGCTGCTTTTCCTTTGCGTAGCCATGGCTCTTTTCTCCCCACTTGTGTTCCTAGCTGAGAGCGAGTTGGGCGCCAAGCAGGAGTTCACAAGTATCCCCGGGAGTTACTGGTGGGCCGTGATCTCCATGACCACAGTAGGATACGGAGACATGGTGCCAAGAAGCATCCCTGGACAAGTGGTGGCACTCAGCAGCATTTTGAGTGGAATCCTCCTCATGGCGTTCCCCGTAACGTCCATTTTCCACACCTTCTCACGCTCCTACATAGAGCTTAAAGAAGAGCAGAATCGCGCCTCGAGGCACAAGCCGGGTTCGCAGGATAGCACCAAGTCTCAAAACAGTGAAGATTCTCAAGAGACGGACAGTTATCATGGGATCACTGAGGCCTCGGCTACATCACTGCAGAGGAGGAAGTTCCTTGCTGCACAAAGGGCTGCTGACATTAGAGCGATGAAAACTTAGCTGCTTCGTTTGTGTTTCATGTGGGACTCCAAAGGTTGACAAGCTGCAGGATGGTGGGATTTTCCTTCCCGGGAGATTGAGGTCCCGGCTTTGATCGTGTGAAGCGCTTGTGCTCCAGGGTGTATCTGAGTTTCTTAAGTTTTACTGAGGAGCTGCAGAGCATACATTTGAACTTGAAAAGACTGCAAACAGTATAACATTCATGAATAAACAACCAGTCAAATGAGATCTAAAAAAATGACAGTTCTGAGTGACTGTGATTCACATAAGTCTGCAAAAAAAAGGGAATTCCAACACCAAAACATCACACGTTGTTATTCAGACCTCAGACTAATAATTTATGTTCCTCACGTAGCTACTTATGAGAATAAAGGTGTTTGCTGAGACTTCAGACATGGAGCTTCATTATTGATGTGCCATATCATCTCCATGTACTCTGTATTTGCTCAACCTGGGGCTCTAAGGTTTCACACACGTTCATAATGATGTCAGCACTTTTATTTGCAATGATGCAAAGCTAATTCATATCCAGCATGATTACACAAGAGTAATTTCTCTTTCAAAGGGCTATGCAGTCAGTTTGGGACATTTTGTTCACTGTGGAATGACAAGAGGATGTTTCTACACTTACCAACATCCAGTTATCTTACCATATATGTGGGTAAAAGGCCAGTAGAACATTAAGAGGGTTGTGTGACTGGTTAAACATCATCATTCAGGCACTAAAACCCACAGACCTTTTAATGACTAAAACCATTTCAGATAATTAATAATAATGTAACCAGTCTTACACGATTTCCTCTAATTGCTCATACAGCACTTCATTTCATTTCACTTGAGTGCCTTGTACTGAAAAAACCCCACAACATTCTGCTAATTATTGTAACTCATCAAGTGCTCGAGAGTGCAAATTAGATATGTTTATAAGCACGGGCATGTTTATTCTCAAAACTCTGAACTCACTGAATCATTACAAAAGCATGGAAATATTAGAACACTTAAAACAAATATATCCACTACAGTATATGCCAGTTTTTAAGAAGTTAGAATATTGTTTTGATTAAGTGGATGGTGAAATAAGACATAATTTGAATAAAAAAAAGTTAAATGGATCTCTGCTTTGCGTCATGAATCGGTAGCCTCTTCTGAAAAATGTAATAATGAAAACAGTCCCCAAGTGGAGAGGCTTTGATTTTACAATTAAATTATACACAAGGAAGCTCTCAAATTTGCAAGAGTGCGTGCTGTGCTTCTGCAATTATGACATCCTGAATTGGTCCGTCTGCGGCTTGAGTCATGTTTTCTTTTCCACATCCGTTATTAATAATGAAATAATGATGTTTCCTGGAGTGGTGTTGGCACAATGCGATGTAAATCTGATCAATACTGACAGCACTTTGAAAAAATGAGCCTGTGGAAGTAGTAGCTCGAGCTCTTGATCGTGTTGCTAACGGGTAGTGATGGCAAAATGAAGCTTTGAATGAAGCGTCGAACCACTTGGACAATTGTGTCGGAAATAGGTTCATTTCTCGAAGCTTCAGTTACAGCGACCTCTCCTGGCGAAGTGCAAGGCTGCAGTGGGTTTAACGTATCTTTGCCTTGAAAAATATTCGATGCACACACACACTAAGACTGAATTGAATATCATGTTCTATTTGCAATTAAAGATTGATAATTGTGTGTATTGGGTTATTGAGAAGAGACTAGAGAGTGCTGGAATTTTCTTTGGGAGGAGAGGGCCTTTTATCAGTTATTAAAGTTGAAAAGCAATGATTAAAAATACATCCATTCCGGGCTTTGAACCAGCTGCGCGGAGGACATCGCCGCATTCGGGCCGCCGGCTCGACCCACTGGGCTATCTATTCCTTAACATATTGAAATGTTTTTATATTACTGATAATTGTCTTTTTGTTCACAACTTCTCCACATTTCGAAGTGTTTCCCGAGCCAGAACGACCTATCTTTCTTCCTGGCTTGCTCTATAATGATATCAAATGCAATACCAACAACAACTCAACAGCAACAACGCAAACTACGACAACAACCCACACATTGCGCATTGTTTAGAGCGGTCATAAAGTGTTGAAGCGCTCACATTTGAAACTGTTTCAACCTGTCACCTGTCAGAATCGAGGCAGTGCATTGAATCGCGTGATAGGACCGCGAACCAGTCAAGTGATTCATTCAGGAAATGAAGCAGTTGCTGCTTCGGACGTCACATGTCACGTGATTTGAAGCAGTTGCTGCTTCGCACGTCATATGTCACGTGATTTGAAGCAAGCTTCGAAGCACTGCTTCTATGGAATAGAAGAAGTCCAGGGTTGAAGCTCAGTGTTGCCAACTTGGCGATTTTCTCGTTAAATTTGGCGGCTTTCCAAACCCTCCGGCTACTTATTTGAGTCAAAAGCGACTAACGACTAATCTAACGATTTATAATGGTGTTATTAGGGACTTTTCTGGTGTTTGGAGACTCACGTATTGTTCTGCAGTTAACGAGCCGCGGGTGCTGCCGTGAGCCCCGCCTCCCTCCCATAGTACTCACAGGCGCTCAGACTGACAGTTGCCTGGCCGCAGCAGAGCTGTTGCTGCAGTCAGAGCAGAGAGGAGACAACCACACTCCCCCGCGTCGAGACTGCAAATGAATTGCGCATGCGCCAACTGCCAAGCCGTCCTGGTTTTGAGCGGGATTTAAATGTAAATGTTTCCTCACTCACTTTCACACTATAATAAAGTTATGTTCTGCTTAAGACGGGGAAGCAACAAAGTAATTGTACCTTGCAGAATAGAGACATTTCTGATCTACTGTCGTCTGGATTTAACTCCGGTGGTTTCGAGTTTTGATCCTTGAAGGGTTGGGAACGTTTTTTGTACTCCCCTCTGCCATGCTCTCTCCTACAGCCGCCATTACATGATATGCAAATTAGGCGATGACGTCATTTAGCGACTTCTGGCGACTTTTCGGACAGCCAATAGCTACTTTCCTTACTATGGAGTTGGCAACACTGTTGAAGCTCCGTTCGAAGCTTCAGTGTCAAACTGCCATCACTACTAACGGGAATAAAAGACCCTGAACTAAATTCACCTTATGGCCGTGATCTCAAGCAGGTTATTTTAGACTACTCTTCTTCAAAGTATGTTATTAAAAGGCTTGTGATTAAATCAGAGATAGATCTTTTGATTTTAAAGATAGAAGACACCATTCTGGTTCCAAGGATGAAGGCCTTTACACAGCTAGCGTGTGACATACATGCTAACGTCACGAAGCAAAACAATTCTTATCAGCAGCAAATTTACAACTGAGCTGCCTCAATTTGCATCCCAAAATATCAGCAAAATAAAAATGTTACAGTTTGAATTGATTATTACCACAGGAAAAACACTCCTGGTGTGAGCTAAAGGCCTTTAGCATTAGCGTATTAGCTAACAGTTGCTAATGCACACATCCAGGCAGACACAGAGCATCATTAGCATTTATTTGGAGTGTCTTTATGACAGTTAGTCCAATATTTACTTCCCTTTTCACCGTGGTTTGTGGTTGCCAGCTCCTGAAAATTATCTGGATATTTAGCTGCTAAATGCTGCAACGTGTTCACCAGCTAAATGCTAAATTAGCTACCATGGCTTCGGATCTTTTCCATTTACTGAAAGGAAATCAATGGGGCCGTATTAAGAAGACTCATTACAGTATTTTTACAGTAGAGTTAATAAGGTGAAAGACCTTCCAAAACAACTAAAACATTTAAAGAAAGGTTATTTTGTTTATCTACTACTAAGATATATGCATTAGGGGTGGGCGGACCGATCCCAAAATATCGATACCTCCGATATTACGTTACGTTTCAAAATATCGATACTAGAGCCAATAGGATCGATACTGTTATACTTTTTTTCTCGTCTCCTCTACTCGTCAATTTCTTCAAAAAACGATGTGCAGACGAACACAAGTATATGCTCTTTTCTTCTCTCTCCACTGCTGTCCTCTTCTCCTCGAGGCTCCCTGCCTGAACGCCGATTATCAAGCTGACTGACAGCAGCCAGCAGGGCAGGACAGCAGCAGCCAGCGACTCGCGAGTGCAACACACACACACGCGCATGATGGCTGAGAGAAAGAGCAGCGTTGTGTGGAGCAATTTCACAACTGGCCATTAAAACTTAGCGAACTGTGATGTGTACAAGAAGACAGTTCGCTACTTTGGCCACTTTGTATTGTTATTTTTCATGTTTGCACTTTAAATTTGCAAAAGTAAAACGTGTATTTGTCTATAAAAACTGTCCTGTCTTTATTCATGAAAATGAATTCAGATTTAGTCTATTTATGATGATTTCAGCTCAAAAATCATGTCATGCAGCTCTCCCCTATATGAAAGTACATTAGACGCTTTTCATTAAAAAAAATATATCGGTATCGATATCGGTATCGGCGATACTGGCCCTGAAATACTTGGTATCGGATCGAATCCAGATTTTGTGTTATCGCCCACCCCTAATATGCATTGCAACCCAGTCTCACGGCATTTCGTGTTATAGCAATGTATTTCTATTGGTAGTAGCCTATGTCTCGTGCCTGCACCACGTCTTTTTGTCCGGTCGGGTCTTGGAATACCAGAAGCTGTGTGGTTCATAAAAATATTTTCTTACTCAATATCTTACCCTAAGCCTAACCCTATCCCTTTTATTTTAAATTGTATAATGTCGGACTTTTTTTGCCGTCCGCGAGGAAAATAAATGGCTCAGAGCCTCAGAATACTGACATTTCTTAAATCTTTTTTTCTTTCTAATGTGTTATTATTTGGTGCAGGCACGAAACACGCTACCAATAGAAATACATTGCTTCTAAAATCGTTCTGTGTCAGAATACTGAAATCTGTATTTTTTAAATCTCTTTTTGTTTCTAATTTGTTATTATTTACATTGCTTTTAAAATCGTTCTGTGTGACACGAAATAAATAGGGAAATCGTGTTGGTGAACACGAATCAATAGATTACATTAATTTCGTGACTATAACACGAAATGCCCTGAGACTGTGTTGACATAGCTTCAGATTGTTTCCATTTACTGAAGTGAAATTCATGGGGCTGTAGTAATAGGACTCATTACAGTATATTTACTGTAGAGTTAATAAGGTGAAAGACCTTCCAAAACAACTAAAACATTAAAAGAAAGGTTAGCTACTACTAAGATATATGAGTTTAGAAAAGTGCACCATCACTTCCAATATTTGCAAAAGTCCATAGCAGCCGTTTTTAAGTATTTATCAGTCAGGGAAGCACCACTCAAATCCCTCAGGAAGAATTGTATTTGAGTGTTGTGTTTTTATGACCTTGAGTATGAATTCAAAGTCTTTATATCATGAAGCGCAGAAGTTTATTTGTTCCATCATCTTCCAATTTTCTTTAACAAATTGATGGTTTAACAATATGCATGAACAAAAATGCACATATCTTATTTAATCTATGAGGGACAGACCATCTTTGTTAAAGGCACTTGGTGACCTATAAAGGGAATATTATAAATCTGTATCTGCTTACATAATCTGACGTCTTTTCAAATCCCTCCTTTCACCCGTTCTGTGCTGGCACATTTTGTCTGTCTCCCCGCTTACAATTAATGTGCTTAATATTTAGATTGCATATGCCCAGAGACGGACCTCGGCTTATTCTTCCTTTGACAACTGATGTCTGCCAGAGCTGAATCGCTGACGGGAGAAATGATGGATGTCTGCACAACTGACACAAACATCTCCAAACAAAACATGACGCATGAGTCTCTCCGTGTCCTCTTTATTGGGTGCAAATGCCATATTATTCACTGGGATGGAAAAAAACTAAAATGTAACATAGTAAAAAAATTGCTTAAAATATATGCTGGTAACGTGTTTTTTTTGGTACATAAACAAAACTATACGTGGGTTGCACAAATAAGAAAATGCACAACATGGCAGTTTGTGGGGAAAAAAAACCTTCACGTGACAGAATCAATATAGAAATATAAAAGAATAACCAAGTGAAACCTACCACATGTATTACAATCACCCTCACCACTGTCTAAATAAACAACAGTCATACACTAGATTCATATTTAATAAAATGATAACCAAATAAATAGGGTGAC